TACCTAGTAGCCAGAACGCACTTCTCAGCCTACTATGCAAGGCCCGATTTGCCTAATTAGCCAAGTTTTCATGAATTAATTGTTTTTCGACTACCTAACCTAACCTAACCTAACTTTTTCGGCTACCTAACCTATAAAGATAGGTTAGGTTAGGTTAGGTAGGGTTGGTTAGGTTCGGTCATATATCTACGTTAATTTTAACTCCAATAAAAAAAAATTTACCTCATACATAATGAAATGGGTAGCTTTATCATTTCATAAGAAAAAAATTAGAAAAAATATATTAATTCAGGAAAACTTGGCTTATTAGGCAAATCGGGCCTTGAATAGTAGGCCAAAAAGTGAGTTCTGGCTACTAGGTACGACATATATATATATATATATATATATATATATATATATATATATATATATATATATATATATATATATATATATATATATATATATACACAAATTTGTAGTGTAAGTTGAATAGCGAGGACTGTGCCCAGCTGCTAAGAGATTTATAGCGAGATTTATTTACTCTGATAAATAAGTCTCACCTGGTTGAAGGTTTCCTCCACAGGTGGGTCCCCATTATCAGGGACAAGACGCCTTCTTAAGCTTATCAAGGTCCTTCTAGGCTAACTACTGCCCTCCAGGATGCAACACAACAGCTGCATAACTCCCGGGTACCTATTTACTGCTACGTGAACAATCGAGGCATCATGTATAATGTATCACTGCATAACGAAAGCAAACGTTTCGCCCCTTCCGGGGGTCGTACCCAGGTCCATTTGTTTGTGAGGAACAGCATTTAACAGTGTTATAACACCTCACCTGGCGACGACGAGGCACAGGAGAGAGAAGAGGATGAAGGTGTTCATGGTGTGAGGGTCACAGAGTTCTGGCTGTTCACGTTTCCTGGACTAAACGTAGCCTCACGATGTTCAATGCTGTAACCTGTATTCGAAGGTAACCGTAGCTCCCGTGTCCAAGTGTGTACTGACGCTTCGGCTCCTCCTCACAGGTATATATATTTGTGTATACAGGTACAGGCATTACTGTGCTTTCTATCATTTATTTCCTAGAGTGAGAATTCAATAATAAAAAAGTCATATCTGCTTTTTCGTCATATGAAGAAAAAATTATTTTAAGCTTTAACACTAGGAAAACTTACACACACACTCTCTCACGGCCCATCTAACAGCGTTCAGGATTCGCAGTCCACGGACCAAGGCTAGATTTCCGGTTGAGACAGAAACTAGTGTGCAGTTTCTTTCACATGATTCCTCTGAGGACTACAGGAGGAATAATTAATGTGTAAGGACTGCAAAAAAGACAAACTAATGTGTGAAGACTGCAGAATAGATATTGACTAATGTGTGAGAACTGCAGACTATCATCTGAAGACTGCAAAAGAACTAATTAACTCGTGAGAACTGCAAGTCTTGAACTGGTGCATGAAAACTGAAGTACTGACATATGAGTACAGCAGAAAGACTCGAACTAATGTTCAAGAACTGCTGAAGGACTAACGAGTTGGGGGAGGGGGGGGGGGGGGAATGAACGTGCAATGTTGTATCCCAGGCAGGCCCCCAATACAATGTTGGACATTCCCTGTGACAGTGTTGCTTAACAGTGCAGGGACATTAGCAGCTCCCCCAAGGACCATAACTAACGGCCAAAATACCCAGAGGGTGATAGAGTAGAGTGAAGAGCTCTCAGATGACTTCAGTCCATAACTATCCTCAGGGCATCGTCCAAACCACTTCAAACAGGGTACATATCTCGCTTACCCAGTGTCCACTGTACAAACCTCACGACTCTGTTCACACTGAACCCTGTGCTGCTCTCAAATAACTAGCAAGGTTATATACCCCACAAACTTCAGCAAACTTATTCACCCTGTCAACCAATAAGGCTGTACCAATCAATAAATTGAGCAATAGTACCACGGACTTTAAAGTACCCTGGTATTTTTTGCTGTTGTCCGGTATAGACACGCTTCCTCCAGTAATTCTATAACAGTCGGTGCATGATGCAAGTTCCTCTACCCTCACTCACCAACACGTGTTCTGCAGTGTTTAAATATCAGAGGGAAGGAGGCAGAATCACAGCATATCAAGATATTTATTGAAATGAAATAAATACTAAATAGTCATTGAACTAGCCTCATCAAATGTTGAAACTGGCCCACCCAACTGCATGGTGTCCGTTCCACTGGACTGCTCTTGGCTCTTTAAACTCAAAGTTTAAAGCGTGCATTCGCCTGTGTGTCGCACTACTAATGAACTGTGCATCAACTAGTAAATGTTTTTGGAAAGACCGGAACGGAACGGAACAAAAGAACGGGAGCTCGGAGAACATGTGTCATAAGCCTTAAATATCGTAGGAAAATATCCAGAGCTCTAGCAAAAGTATTCACTGATGAGTCTTCTAAATAGGTCGGCGTGTCTAGCAAAAGTATTCACTGATGAGTCTTCTAAATAGGTCGGCGTGTCTAGCAAAAGTATTCACTGATGAGTCTTCTAAATAGGTCGGCGTGTCTAACAAAAGTATTCACTGATGAGTCTTCTAAATAGGTCGGCGTGTCTAACAAAAGTATTCACTGATGAGTCTTCTAAATAGATCGGCGTGTCTAACAAAACAAATGCCTTCGTGAAATATTTGAACTATGATTTTTCAAAGGCTTTATTGCTGAGGGTTCTCAGTTGTAAGTGGTGGTCTTAATGCGTATTAACCACTGTAGGGGGTTATTTAAGGCAACCACAAGTGTATATTGAACAACCAGAAAATATTTTCTAATCTTGAACAAATTCAAAAACTAATGTAAATGCTCAGGATATTTGGGGGGGGGGGGGGGCGAATTATAAAGTATAATTTTCTCATTGGTTTATAACACGAGTAGGATTGATGTGTTCTTGTTTCCACTCTTATCTTGAGGGCTGTAAATGTTTATATAATTTATAGTCTGTTATCAATTTGTAAAGTTGATATTATAGGGATAAAAATACTACTTCATCTTTAGGCATTTATTTATAACTGTCATTACAAATATGATTCCATAGTTCGTTGTAGTTTCAGAAAACGTCCCAAAGTAGCTGGTCTAGTTATTTATGTCAGCCTGTCCTCACAAGCAAGGGGCTCTTTAATTCAGTCGCCAAACCCCATGTTTCATTATTGAAAAATACTACACACGCAACCCGTCCCCAGTAAGGGTTGCGCGTTCATTCAAGAACAAGTTCATTCCATCCAGCAGTCGACCCCAAAGACGCATTCATCAATTTTATCATGCTGTTCATTAATAATAGGAATCTTCTCAAATATAAATTAATGTTGTTATATATTAGCATACTGTGCCTATATAGGTACGGGTTACGTTAGGTGTTTAGGTTCTGTTGGCGATTATTTGTATTTGTAGTACGTGGGTGAAGCATTTACAGCGTTCTGGTTCGAACAAAAGTCGTGAGTGAAGCACTTGTTCCAGATGTGTTTGAACGTCATCAGTTGTGAGTCGCGTGTAAACTGTTGTTCATTAATAAACAGGGGGTTTAGCGGGTGCATGGAATGGACTTTAGCCTTTGTTTATGAGGACGGGCTGACAGTACACGATTCGCAACAATGACGTTCGAGCATCGTTGACGACCTCAGTTCAAATCGTAATTCTGTAAGCCATTCAACCACATACTACAAATACAAATAACTGCCAACAGAACTTTAATATTTAACCGAGCCTATGCCGAAATATGTACAGAATTCAAATATATAATATTGTAATTTATATGTAAGAAAATATCAAATTTAAAACGCATTACATTCAAATTTAAGAATGTGTCTTTAGGGTCTGCCCCCGCTTGAACGAACAAACCCTGAAGACAGGTTATAAAAAGGAGACAGTTTCTAAGCATAGTGGTAATCATGGTAGGTTCATGGGTTGCCAGTCGTTGTCTTGACGGCAGGATCACTCGACCAGTTCGAAGGTCGTGGCGGCAGATGGCGCGCGTCCTCTAACAACCTCCTGGGACGCAAGTTCCTTTAGCAAGTTCACTTTCCGTCTTGCAGACGAGGCAGCGACCGCATTTCCCGTACATGTCCCACATTCCACCACACTCCTCCCCGGGGCCCTGCAAACACGGTGTAGCTCACTATACTGACTCTAGTGTACACAAGATTGTTTTACTGTTGGGCTTAGGGGCCTATCAATCTCTGAAGGGTCACTGAAGCTACTACAATTGCTTAAAGATCAACTAGGAAGAATACTTTAGTCTCCAACATGTCCAAGACTAAAATTTAACTCAAGTGAATATTCACCACTTGAATGTATACACCTCTCGGTGTATACATTCCCTATGGCACAGGTTAACATTTGTTTGTGAGTAAAGGGTGTAGTTTATGATAAAAGTTATGCCCAGTAACATTTCTGGAAACACACACATGAACAACAAGAAATAGGCATTATCCAACTAAATATAATGGGTAATTAATATACGTCAAGGTGAAGTATAGTTCCATAAAAAACGTATTGATGTCTTTAAAATTAATAAAATATGTTGAAGATCTGTAACATATATCTTTGGAGACGAGACTACAATTATACGTTATAGCAAGACCTGTAATAATTTGGTGAAGAGGTAACTACAGCAGTAACAAACACTCACACACCTTGCCACAGATGTCACAACAGTTGCAGATGTCCTTGACGGTGCCCCACGGACAGCTCAGGGTACTGGGGTCTGGGCACGGAGTTGGCCTCTTCTCACAGGGCAAACAACTCAACCCCGAGCAGCTAAAGGAAACATTAAAATATGAATATATATTATCAGAAATAATAAAAACTTACAAATATATAAAAACAATATTTATATAATAACGTAAAATTTTATGCAAAGAACCCTAGAAAATTATCTAGCATAAAACAGTGGTTTGTAGAAAATGTGGTTTACTTAGGTACTAAGGGATACTCTGACAAAAATGTTCTTTATGACTGACATGAGAGTGCAAGGGACATAACTCACCTGGCGATAACGAGGCACAGGAGAGAGAAGATGGTGAAGGTGTTCATGGTGTGATGGTCCTGGCTGGGGTTAATGTGGCTTCAAGTTGCTGAAGATGGTCACACTAGCGCTGCTCACCGACGGTAACCGTAGCTCCCGTGTCCAGGTGTGTACTGACGTGGCACCTCCTCCTCACAGGTGTATATCTCGTGAATACACAGTCGCAGCCCACCCCCGCCCCCCTGAGACCGGCATCACTTTTTATCTGCTTATTATAATTTCCATCTTAGAATGAGAACCCAGTAAAAAGAATCATATTAGCTTTTACGGCAACTGCCGAAATATTCAGCCCGTCCTCCAAAAATGGGGTGGTAAATGTAAGAAGACAAATAAGTGCAATTATGTACTATTCATAGCAGTTAGGAATTGTACTTATTTTCACTTGGTATTAAATCGTAGTCAAATATATTGGGAATATTTGAGTTTACCTGAAAAACTGAATAGAAAACCACAACCTCACCTAACCTTCTTAGTTTTTGAAGATAATAATTTTATTGCTTCTTAATTACAATTAGTACTTAACCTATAGCTATATTGGTATTACAGTTTTATAAAACTAATAAAACAAAACTAAAATATATCAATAAATTGTAAAGTAACTCAGGATATTTTAAAATTTTGTATAAAATCTATATTGTTTAATAAACCTAAAAAAGAAATTTCTAATATTTAAAACTTGTAATTATTAATTGAAAATTTCATCCTAAAATTTTAAGTATTTTAACAGAAAATGAGAATATATCGGGGGAGGGGTTTGGGTAAATGTAAAAGCCCCGTAAGTGCAATTAGGCACTGTTTATGACAGTAATAAAGTGGACTTATTACACTTACTATTGAATCGTACTCGGAGGATGGGTTGCAGCTATATTTTACTTTCTCTACTACACACACACACAGACACACACGGCATATGCCAGGCTGGCCAACATGAGAACGGCATTCAGAAACTTGTGTAAGGAATCATTCAGAACTTTGTATACCACATCCGTAAGGCCAATCCTGGAGTATGCAGCCCCAGCATGGAATCCATATCTAGTCAAGCATAAGACTAAACTGGAAAAAGTTCAAAGGTTTGTCACCAGACTTATACACGGGCTGAGAGGTATGAGCTACGAGGAGAGGCTACGGGAATTAAACCTCACTTCGCTGGAAGAAAGAAGAGTTAAGGGGGACATGATCACCACATACAAGATTCTCAAGGGAATCGATAGGGTAGATAAAGACAGGCTAATTAACACAAGGGGCACACGCACTAGGGGACACAGGTGGAAACTGAGTGCCCAAATGAGCCACAGAGATATTAGAAAGAACTTTTTTAGTGTCAGAGTGGTTGACAAATGGAATGCATTAGGAAGTGATGTGGTGGAGGCTGACTCCATACACAGTTTCAAGTGTAGATATGATAGAGCCCAATAGGCTCAGGAACCTGTACACCTGTTGATTGACAGTTTAGAGGCGGGACCAAAGAGCCAGAGCTCAACCCCCGTAAGCACAATTAGGTGAGTTCATAAACACACACACAGAGGGGCCTGATAGCTGAGTGGACAGCGCTCTGGACTCTTAATCCTAGGGTTCGGGTTCATTCTCCGGTGATGGCATAAACAAAATGGGCAGTTTCTTTCGCCCAGATGTCCCCTGTTACCTAGCAGTAAATAGGTACCTGGGAGTTAGACAGCTGTTACTGGCTGCTTCCTGGGTGTATGTGTGTGTATTTTTTTAGTTAGTTGGTAGTTAGTAACAGTTGAGAGGCGGGCCGAAAGAGCAGAGCTCAACCCCCGCAAGCACAACTAGGTGGAGTACATGTGTGTGTGTGTAGATAGGTAAAGGGAGCAAGAGGCCAGATACAAGGTACCAGTTGGGAGATGAAATTCGTCTAGAATCAGAGAGAGAGAGAGAGAGAAACCCTACACATTATTATTATTCACAACTCACAATTATAACATAGAACAGTGTAAAACACTTGCACTGTTACAGAGTACACTCACACGCGCGATATGCGTCGCTTTCCAACTTCAGAATTGTTTTTAATAACATGGGTGGTGGAATACTAAGGTAATTGTTCATGGTTTTTGTGAGACCAAACTTGGAATATGCAGCAGTTGAATGGTGCCCATACCTCAAGAAGCACATCAATAAACTTGAAAAGATGCAAAGAAATGCTACGAAATGGTTTCAGGAACTGAAAAACAAGAATTACGAAGAGAGGCTAGAGACGTTAAACGTGTCAAAGCTAGATGATAGAAGAAAAGGAGGCGATATGATCACCACTTACAAAATAATATCGCAGATCGACCAAATTGATAAAGAGGAATTCCTGAAACCGACAATCTTAAGAACAATTAAGGGATCATAGATTCAAGCTGAGGAAACAAAGGTGCCGAAAACACATTAGAAAGTTTTTCTTTTGCAAACAGAGTGGTAGATTCTTGTAACAAGTTAAGTGAGAAGATGATGGGGGCGAAAACCGTCAGTAGTTTCAAGGCGCTATATGACAAAGAGTACTGGGAAGACGGGACACCACTATCTCCCCATAAAGACAAGAGAAAAAGACCTAAGAGTGGACATAACACCAAACCTAACTCCAAGGGCTCATCTAAATAGAGTAACATTAGCCGTATACTCTTAAGGTACCAAAGGTTAGAACTTTCCTCAGGAACTTAAAAAAGGAGGCTTTTAGGTCACTGTATACCGCCTATGAGGGGCCAGTCTTAGAGTACGCCGCCCCGTCGTGGACCCCCATCTTAAAGAAAACATAAGGAAGCTCGAAAGGTTGCAGAAGTTTGCAACGAGACTCGTCCCAGAATTAAGGGATGAGAGATGAGGTATGAAGAGAAGTTGTAGAAACTAAACCTGTAATGCTAGAAAAAAGGGGAAGATGGGGGGACATGATACAGACGCATAAAATACGTAGGGGTTTAACAGGGTGGAAAAAGACGAGATATATACAATGAATACCAATAGAACAAGTGAGCACGGATGGAAACTTGAAACTCAGATGTGTCATAGAGATGCTATAAAGTTTTCTTTTAGAGTAAGGGTAGAGAGCAAATGGAATGATCTAAAGAAGCAAGTTGCAGGTGAAATTCGATTCACAACTTTAAATACAGGTAAGATTGGGAATTAAATCACGAATCATTGCATTAGACAACCAGGGGTTTGAAAAGCTTCGATTCGGTTCGATTGTGCTGGCACAAACAGTAAATACACTCAGCCTTGTAAATTCTAAAGGTAATGACGTCATAATTCCAGGAACCTGTCATTGGGAGACGTACAGAAAGTTTTCCTACTTTATAAAACTTGAGAAAGTTATCGTGATAGTCACACAAATATTCTGTGTAAAATATTAAAGGCAATACGTTAAATATTTTAGGCAACACTTTAAGTGACCGACAGCTCGTAAGACGGGGCTTAAGAGCTAACGCTCAACCTTACAACACATTAATATAATCACAAACTCAGAGGGTAAAGGATATTACAGCATCAGTTTTCTCTGTCAGTAAGATACTTCACTGCTCCGTTGTTGCTTAAGTCGGTCAGATAAGAGGGTGTCACCGGGGGGAAAACAGCAACAGAGAACTAGACTACTAAATGCTAGATGTAGCGAGGACTGCAGAAGGACCATGATGAGTAGGAACTGCACGAAAAGATGTGAAGACTGCAGCAGGACTCCAACTGACGTGCGAAGACTGCTGGAGACGGACATTTACTGAAGTGTTTGAACGAAAGTAGTCATCATTATAAGAAGGTATAACACTGTGAGTACCATTGATGACTATTAAGAAAATATGAGGTGACAGAATTAGATCTTGTGGAATGAATGAACTATGAGAAAAAGCGCCAAGCCATTACAAAAATATAGCACTTGGAAGGGGTCACGATAAGGATTTGGGATGGGATGAGAGGGAAGGAATGGTGCCCAACTACTTGGATGGTCAGGGATTGAATGCCGACTTGCATGAAGCGAGACCGTCGCTCTACTGTCCAATCCAAGAACAAGTGGAACACCTTAGTTGATGGAGAAAGAGGCAGAAGTTAACCCATCCCCTATGTATATGTGCTGTTATGGCGGTGTGTCCACTCACCGAATGAGTGGCGCTGCCCAATACTGTCACTATGGCGGTGTGTCCACTCACAGGATGAGTGGCGCTGCCCATTACTGTCACTATGGCGGTGTGTCCACCCACAGTGGCGCTGCCCAATACTGTCACTATGGCGGTGTGTTCACTCACAGGATGAGTGCGCTGCCCAATACTGTCACTATGGCGGTGTGTCCACTCACACGCTGCCCAATACTGTCACTATGGCGGTGTGTCCACTCACAGGATGAGTGCGCTGCCCAATACTGTCACTATGGCGGTGTGTCCACTCACAGGATGAGTGGCGCTGCCCAATACTGTCACTATGGCGGTGTGTCCACTCACAGGATGAGTGGCGCTGCCCAATACTGTCACTATGGCGGTGTGTCCACCCACAGGATGAGTGGCGCTGCCCAATACTGTCACTATGGCGGTGTGTCCACTCACAGGATGAGTGGCGCTGCCCAATACTGTCACTATGGCGGTGTGTCCACCCACAGGATGAGTGGCGCTGCCCAATACTGTCACTATGGCGGTGTGTCCACTCACAGGATGAGTGGCGCTGCCCAATACTGTCACTATGGCGGTGTGTCCACCCACAGGATGAGTGGCGCTGCCCAATACTGTCACTATGGCGGTGTGTTCACTCACAGGATGAGTGACGCTGCCCAATACTGTCACTATGGCGGTGTGTCCACTCACAGGATGAGTGACGCTGCCCAATACTGTCACTATGGCGGTGTGTCCACTCACAGGATGAGTGGCGCTGCCCAATACTGTCACTATGGCGGTGTGTCCACTCACAGGATGAGTGGCGCTGCCCAATACTGTCACTATGGCGGTGTGTCCACTCACAGGATGAGTGGCGCTGCCCAATACTGTCACTATGGCGGTGTGTCCACCCACAGGATGAGTGGCGCTGCCCAATACTGTCACTATGGCGGTGTGTCCACCCACAGGATGAGTGGCGCTGCCCAATACTGTCACTATGGCGATGTGTTCACTCACAGGATGAGTGGCGCTGCGTAATACTGTCACTATGGCGGTGTGTCCACTCACAGGATGAGTGGCGCTGCCCAATACTGTCACTATGGCGGTGTGTCCACTCACAGGATGAGTGGCGCTGCGTAATACTGTCACTATGGCGGTGTGTCCACTCATAGGATAAGTGGCGCTGCATAAATAAATTGCATTTATTTCTTCTTAATTACAATTATTACCTAACTTATAGTTATATTCATACTACAATTTTATAAAACTAATAATACAAAACTAAAGTCTTTAAAAATTTTAAAGTACTTAAGATATTTTCATACTTAGTATAAAATCTCTATTGTTTAATAAAACTGAAAAAGAAATTTTTTATATTTAAAACTCAAAAGGTTTAGAATGAAACACCGAAACTTCAGTCTGAAATTTTGAATATATTAACTGAAAATAAGAATATATGTTAAGGTAAAATTAGGGCACGAGTGAATTTATGTATTACGCAGATAGTAAGGAATGTATTCAATATTAAAACGTATTTGCTATTCGGAGGAAGGGTTGGATACACCCATAACTTTTGGACGAAGTTTGTGTGAATTTCTTAATTCACATGTTTAAATATAAAGAATATTTTTTCAGTTTTATTAAACAATAGAGATTTTATACTAAATTTGAAAATATCTTGAGTATTTTATAATTTATTGAAAGACTTTAGTTTTATTTTACTAATTTTATAAAATTGGTTAAGTACTAATTGTAATTAGGAAGCAATAAATGCTATTTATATGCTTATCTTCCTGCACTCCCAAGGTTAGATCGTGGTTTTCTATACAGCTTTTCAGGTAAACTGTAATATTCACAATATTTTGGTGCGATGCTGGCGATAAGTGTATTTATGTACTATGCCGATAGTCAGGATTGTAGTTATTACATTTAGTATTTAAACGTACTGTCTATTCGGAGGAGGGGCTGATTAAACTCGCCCCTTGCAGCAAAAATATAAAAAGAAAGATTGATTTATGAAGATTAAGCCACCCAAGATGTGGCACGGGCATGAATTGCCCGTAAGTGGCAAAAGGTGGCCCTTTTGAGCCATTACCAGTATCAATAGATGATACTGGAGATCTGTGGAGGTGCGACTGCACCCTGCGTGACGGGAGATGTCTCCCGTGATATATAAAATAAGTTGTTAAAGATTTGCTATCTGGAACAAAATTATAAAATAAGCTAGAGTAAGACTGATGTATTCTCCTTTTCTCTGATATCTGGTGGGTTGTAGATGTTTATATAAAAAAAATTCTATTCACAGTTTGTATAGTTTTCGCTCTGTCAATGACAAGTTTTTGTTTTTTTATGTATTAGTTGATAACTCGTTGTTGCAAATATGATTTCATAGTTTAGTATAGTTTCATAATAAGGTCTATTAGATACGTATTAAACTAGAGACATTTTCTAAGCGCAATAATAATCACGGTAGTTTCCTAGTTCTCGGGTCGTGACGGCAACGGCCAACTAGTCAACTGACAAGTTGGGAAAGTGGCGACGGCAGATAGCGAGCGACATCATAACACACGGAGACGCAAATTCCTTCAACATTTTTAATTTCCGTCACACACATGTACACACACTCACGGGAAAGAGTAACCGGCAGAGCCCGGGTCTGTAGTCCTGGACAATGCTCAGGACCAACCTGCAGCAACCTTGCCACCTGCGCCTGTCAGGTGTAAACACAAAACTCAGACACAAACCAAAATAATCAGAAGTGCGTCGATAATTCGTCAGCCAACACAAATGGTGATGATTTCATAATTAATACCGTGTAATTGTTGCAAAAAGCACAGTCTATTTTATGATTCTTCACGGGGGTCGTATTCCAGGGAACATAGGATTAAGGACTTACCCGAAACGCTACGCATACTAGTGGCTGTACAAGAATGTAAGAACTCTTGTATATATAAATAAAACAAAACAAAAATTGTGCACCTCATACTCATCCTTTGAGTGGTAGAAAAAGTATTAAACCAGGGCTTATTTTGATTGTAGACTACCAATGATTTACCCAATATAACCTCAATTACCTCTTCACCAGGCAGTTGTTATCACTACCACCATCACCATCCCTATCACTACCATCATTACCTCATTACCACTACTAGACAGAGAACTTTATTAGTGTCAGAGTGGTTGACAAATGGAATGCACTAGGAAGTGATGTGGTGGAGGCTGACTCCATACACAGTTTCAAATGTAGATATGATAGAGCCCAGTAGGCTCAGGAACCTGTACACCTTTTGATTGACAGTTGAGAGGCGGGACCAAAGAGCCAGAGCTCAACCCCCGCAAGCACAACTAGGTGAGTACATATTAGGCATAAGTGTGACTTCAAAAGATATTACTAGCTTGGTTTTACTTTACATATGGATAGCTAGGAACACAATGGCTGAAGAAGAACAGTAAGGTTTTATCATATTTATTTATGGAAAACGACACATCACAAATACACCAACTAGCTCCAACTTGTGAGAATTATGCTGCTGTTTATATGCAATCAAAACATGGAATCGAGGTACATTTACTGACGGTAACTGTAACTTGATTCCTAGTACCAAGATTCATTATAACAACGAATGCATTAATTTGTTCAGAAATCGAGCCACATGCCCACTATTACTGTGTTTCCATACCCTTATGGGGTATGGATTCTCCTGGTTTAGAATCCCTGTCTTATAGGCTATTTAAGAAGTCTTCTTCGGACGTCAGTAAGCGTTCTTTGATAAGAAATACCAGAATTTTCATATATACGTTGCATAATATTTGAATGTAATTACATGATTGTATATCTTTTACATATTTTACTCCAATTGTTATCGATAAAAGTGTAATATTGAGCATTTTAACTGTGTTGTTTTCATAATACTGAACGTTGACTTCTCATCAACTGACAGTGAAGATAGTTCCGTTATATGGTGACAACGTACAAGGGTTGAGGTGATCGTGATGGCTTCATGATTGGTACTTAAGTTGTCTCTCCTGTAGAGGCAGTTGTCAGCTGGGTGGTGAGTGCCGGTGGGCGGTGACAGATGGCCAGTGGACTCACTTTACCAACTGGGAAGTGTCGTCGGCAGGTAGTAACACTAAGATAGGTGGCGGCTCACTTGACCAGCTGGAAGGCGGCACGTGCCGGATGGTGACAGAAATCTAATTCCCTTTATGTGACCTGACGAGGACTCAAATAACTCATATTCTTTGCTCTCCTTGTCACAGACGAGGGAGGGGCCACATTTGCCTTTTGTGTCAAAGGCACCTCCACAGACCGCCCCGGGGCCCTGCGAACACACATGTGTTACATACTACATTGACGGAAACACAGTTTGTGTGGAGCTGCTGTAGTGGCTGTGTTGTATTGTATGCTGTAGTGGCTGTGTTGTATTGTATGCTGTAGTGGCTGTGTTGTATTGTATGCTGTAGTGGCTGTGTTGTATGCTGTAGTGGCTGTGTTGTATTGTATGCTGTGTTGTATTGTATGCTGTAGTGGCTGTGTTGTATTGTGGAGTGACTGTATTGCAGCACAGACTTAGAAATTATTACAGACAGACACAGAATATGAATCGAGATCATAGATCACTTTACAATATAAGACAAACAGCAACATCAACTCACCCCGCCGCATGATTGACAGCAGCTGCACGCCTGTCTGACAGTCCCCCATGAACAATTCAGGGTAGCGGGGTCCTGACAGTTGTTGGGGTTACAAGGTGTGCATGATAGTCCAGAACACCTGTGGAATATACACAAACATAAGAGTTAAGGCATCTGCAGTACACACACACACACACATATGTGTATGGTGGAATGTGCCAAGTGTAATATCTATTACTACCTTCTCCCCTCAAGCGTCACTGTCACACATATGTGTGTGTGTGTGTATATATATATATATATATATACTGCATTAACGCTGTGCTATAACACCTCACCTGGCGACGACGAGGCACAGGAGAGAGAAGAGGATGAAGGTGTTCATGGTGTGAGGGTCACAGAGTTCTGGCTTTTCACGTCCGTTGGACTAAACGTAGCCTCACGATGTTCAATGTTATAACCTAATTTTCGACGGTAACCGTAGCTGCCGTGTCCAAGTGTGGACTGATGCTGCGGCTCCTCCTCACAGGTATATATATCTGTGTATACAGGTACAAGCCCCTCCACCCTACCCCCCTCCTACCTGAAACCACCATCACTGTGCTTACTATCATTTCTTTCCTAGAGTGAGAATCCGATAAAAAACATATCAGCTTTTTCGTGAAATGGGAAAAAATTTATTTTAAGCTATAACACTAGTAAAACTTACACACACTCTCTCACGGCCCATCTAACAGCGTTCAGGATTCGCAGTCCACGGATCCAGGCTCGATTCTCGGCTGAAACAGAAACTAGAGGCCAGTTTCTTACACATGATTCCTCTGAGGACTGCAGGAGGACTTATTAATACTTAAGGAATGCAAAAAGACAAACCAGTGAGTGAAGACTACAGAATGGCTGTTGACTTATGCATGAGGACTGCAGACTAACATGTGAAGACTGCTTAAGGTCTAGTTAACATGTAAGGATTGTAGGACTAACTCGAGAAAACTGCACAAGGCCAAGGTGAGGACTGCAGAATGTCATGAACTGATGCATGAAGACTGCAGGACTGACATATGAGTACAGCAGAAAGACTCGAACTAATGTTCAAGAACTGCAGAAGGTATAACTGGCGCTTTAAGATTTCAACTTAGATTCAACAGAGCAGAAGAAGTTGTTAAACACATATGGCAAAATCTTACTGAAGCGACCTTACGAGTCATAAATACTCATACTCCGCCCAAGTAAAACAGAAACAAGCAACACTTAGTGGGCCAGCCAGAGGCTTAGGGCCCGCGCAGGAATATCCCTAAAAAAAGAAAAAAAAAACTGACGCTTGAGGGGAGAAGGTACGGTAATGAACACGCAACGTTGTATCCCAGACAGGCCCCCAATACAATGTTGGACATTCCCTGTGTCGGTGTTGCTTACCAAAGCAGGAACACTTGCAGCTCTCCCAAGGACCATAACTAACGCCCAAAATACCCAGAGGGTGATAGAGTAGAGTGAAGAGCTCTCAGATGACTTCAGTCCATAACTACTCCTCGGGGCATCGTCCAAACTACTTTAGACAGGGTACAGAGCTCGCTTACCCAGTGTCCACTGTACAAGCCTCACGACTTAGCTCACACTGAACCCTGTGCTGCTGTCAGATAACTAGCAAGGCTAGATGCCCAATAAACTTCAGCGAACTTATTCAGCCCGTGACAGCTGACTAACTCCCAGGTACCTATTTTCTGCTAGGTAACAGAGGCATAGGGTGAAAGAAACTCTGCCCATCGTTTCTCGCCGGCGCCCGGGATTGAACCCGGGACCACAGGATCACGTGTACGGCGTGCTGTCCGCTCGGCTCCCTAGATACACTAGTAGGTATAAACACACTTCCTCGAGGGTATCTAAATCTGTAGGTGCATGATGCAAGTTCCTCTAGCCTAGCCTTACTCATCCACACGTGTTACAACCGTTCTGCAGTGTTTAGATATCAGGGAGGAGGAAGCAGAACACAGCATATAAAATGACATATAAAGAAGTGAAATAAATACTAAGCAATCATTGTATTAGCCTCATCAAATGTTGAAAGTTGGCCACCCAACTGCATGGTGTCCGTTCCACTGGAGTGCTCTTGGCTTTTAAAATCAAAGTTTACAGCATGAATTCGCCCGTGTGTCACACTACTAATGAACTGTGCATCAACTTGAAAATAGTTTTTTGGAAAATACGGAATGGAACAGGAGCTCGGAGAATATGTCATATGCCATAGATATTATAGGAAAATATCCAGAGCTCTGGAAAGAATATTCACATAATTAACAGCGATTCACTCTAATTTTTCATTAAATAGACCACACGGGCAGTGACAGACTGTAGCAAGTGCGAGTAAGACTGATGTGTTCTCCTTTCCTCTAATATTTGGTTGGTTGTAAATGTTTATATAATTTTTAGTCTATTCACAGTTTGTAAAGTTGGTGCTTGGTGAATAAAAAAATATTTTTTTTTTATATATTTATTTTTAATTCGTCATTACAAATTTGATCCCATAGTTCGTTATAGTTTCATAACAAGGTCCACTAGTATTAAGCTGGATACCATTTCTATGCGAAATAATCAGGGTAGTTGCCTAGTTCTCAGGTCTTGACGGCAGTCAGTTAACCAGTTGGAGAAAGTAGTGGATTTCCCTTGTTGGCCGCCAGAGGGGGGGGGGGCCAACCCCAGGGGACGTGCACTGAGGTTTGCTCCCCAGTTCACAACCCGAGCACGGAGGAGGTGGTTGTGGGTCAACCCGTTCTCGTACTTGCTTATAGTCAATATTGGCTTATTTAATAAGTGCATATATGACACACTAATTGATTGTGAATAGTTTAGTTTACCTTGAAAAGCTTCATAGAAAACACCGACCTCACCTAACCTTCTTAGTATGTTAAGATAAGCATCTTATTGCTTCATATTTACAATTATTACTTAACCTATTGATCCCAAGGCTTGTGTGGTACCGTAGGGTACATTTTTTATTTACGATGGGGTCCTCTCTGCCTCCTCTTAAACGGACGTCTTCGGCGCCATTTGATCATACAGTGATTGGTGTTGCGCTGGTAAACGTGCTTTAATTAGGCGATGACTGAACTGGTGGGAGTGCAGATGATTCAAGATCACCGTGTAGAAGTGAAGTTTGCTTGACCAGATGCGTTCCGGCAGTTCCTTGATAGGTGTGATGGTGGCACGTTCCCTTTACCGGATGATGTTGGTGCAGTGCGTGTGGTGAATTTGAGTGTGACATTGACATATGTGGAGGTGCGTGGTACGTCGTTTGAAATGGCGGATGGGCTATTAACCCGGCTGTTCGGGAAGGTGTTAAGCGTGAGGTGAAATAAAGTTTCCACTGGTTATTGTAAGGGACTGCTTTCTGGCACCAAGACACTGACGATGTCCTTGACGCAGTATATACCATCTTCCTTATCCCTACTGTGGTTTACACTGCTGCATGTATTCAGGTCTTCCCTGTACAAATTATCGTTGTGGTCTACCGGATCATCTAGCGGCGGCTTGCAACAATATCTTTCAGAAGGGTGATTTTCCGCTCTTCCGATCCCAGGAGGTTTCTACGGACATGCTGGCTGATGGTGCTGTACCGCCTGCCAGCTGCTGAGCCAGTCCCAGAGGCTTGCACGGAGCCAGTGGGGCGCCCTGTGCAACCGGAGCTGCCATCGGGACGGTGTGTGGATGAGGCTCCGACTACAGGGCTGTCTGTACCGGTGGAGGTTCACAGTGCGCCAAATGCTGTGGTGGTGGTCCCGGCTCCCCAGGATGTGTCCCCGTCTGCTGTGGAGAGTGTTTCTGGGGCACTTGCTCCGTCTGTGAGGTCACTGGATGTGAGGGGCTTTCCCCCTCGTCTCGAGAGGCGTTTCCAACTGCCCCTCCGATGGAGGGTGTGCAACCCCCTCGACGCCTGCAAGACACGTTGCATCCGGTCGAGCTGGTCCCTCGACAGAGACGCCGGAAGGGCACTGCCAGGGCGCAGTCCCTTTGTGGTTAAGGACTCTTAATTTGGAGCCTATAGAGGGCGAGGACGGGGTGAATGAGGCAGTGGTTGTGGAAGGGTAGGTGCAGGGTGGGGTGGACCGAGTGGGGGTCCACCCCGCCCCGTTGTTGACCCTGGTGATGGTGGTAGTGCAAGGCATGATTTGTGTTACGTGTTGAATGAAGGATTTCTAGCCTTCAGAGGGATTACCCGGCTGTGGAGCACCTTTCCTCGACCACTTCAAGGATCACTTCTTGTAGTAAGGTCCGGAGGTGTCTCCTCTCCGTGCTTTTGACGATGTATAGTGTGTTGTGTGTGGGAGTCTGTTCTTCTTGTATGTTGTTTAATTACATCTAGTATCTGGCCTTTCCTGTGACCCGTGTTCCTTTATAATTTGTTTCAGTTTGGATGTGGTTGTATACTTGTTTGGGGTTGTAAGCTTTCCCTACATTGACCTTGTTAGGGCCGTTGTTATCCTGTTCAATGTTTATTGTGTTAGTGATGATAACAGCCTCAGTGTTGTTTGGTGGCCCTTGTGTGTGTGTTTCTTTTTCAGTGGTATGTGTTGTTGCTTTTTCCTTGTGTGGTAATGGCTGTTTTTGCCGTGCCTTTCTGTTTCTTATAATGTAATTGTTTCCTTGTTCTGTGCGCGTTAGCGCTGTTCCAGGATGCGTGTGTTTTCGTTTCCTTGGTGTGTGTATATTTTCTATGTTATGTTTCAGTTTTGTTTGGGGTAACTAGCTTGTATTGGTATGATGCTTGGCTGTTTATGTTATACCATGTGTTGTGGTGTACTGTTCTGTGTATACTTCCTTACGGCAGATAGCGAGCGTCAGCATAACATACTGAAGGGATGTAAGTCCCGTCAACATTTTTACTTTCCGTTTCACATGCACACACACATACAAGAAAGGAAAACAGGCGGTGCCCGGGTCTGTTAACTGTAGTCCTGGACAATGCTCAGGACTAACCTGCAGCAACCTTGCCACCTGCGCCTGTCAGGTGTAAACACAACACTCAGACACAAACCAAAATAATCAGAAGTGCGTCGATAATTCGTCAGCCAACACAAATGGTGATGATTTCATAATTAACACCTTGTGATTGTTGCCACAAGCACAATCTGTTTTATTGTGCACTCCATACTCGTCCTGTGAGCGGTAGTTTATTGTGCACCTCATACTCATCCTTTGAGTGGTAGAAAAAAATGAAGCCAGGGCTTCTTAACCTTATTTAGATTGTAGACTACTAATGGCTTACCCATTATGGCCCCAGTTCCCCCTTTACCAGACTGTCGAAGTCATCACCACCACTACCAGGCCTATTAGGTACAAGTGTGACTTCAAAAGATGTCAATAGCTTGGTTTACCTTGCATATGGATAGCTAGAAACACAACGACTGGAAAAAAAAAGATTGTATCCTGTTTATTTACAGAAAACGTAACATCACAAATACACAAACTAGCTCCAACTTGCGAGATTTTTGCTGTTCTTTATATGCGATCGAGGTACAGTTTCTGAAG